GGTCCCTTCCGTTGGCCCGTGAGGACGACCCGGGGGACCGGGGGGCACGCGCCGCGCCCTGCCGCGGCCATCGCGGCCATCTCCGACTCTTGTAGTATTTAACCGCGGTCGGCAAAAGGTTTCGCACGTGCGATTGCAGCGGCACCCCTTTAGGAGCGAGTCTCTCTGCGAGTGCGAGCGAGATGAAAGGCGAGGCGAGTCTGTCGCCCCTGCCCCGCGGCCCCCGCGGCCCGCTCCCGCTGCCTGCACAGCTATCCTTAGCTCTGAGATCAGCGATCGGGCGGCGGCGTCAGCGGCGGCGTCAGCAACGCGGTCGGGTCGGCCGGGCTGCAAAGCCTTGTGCCGCACCCGATAACCATCCGGGCCATGAGCGGCGTCCATGAGGAGAAGGGCGGCCGCGGGCCGCGGCAGCCGGGGCGCTAGCCAGGCGTTGCCATGAGAACAGCCCGCCGCGCTGTCTGCCCACCGCGGCGGCCTCCTGGCCCCGCAGGCCCCGGCTGGCTGCCCCCGGCTCGTCCCCGCCGCTGACAGTGCTGCGCTGTGTGCCGACGTGCCCCGCTATGGCCCACAGGCCCACCCCATCACTGGCGTCTTTATGCCCCCGCTGATGTGACGTCCGCGGGTACACAGCTCGCAGAGCGCCCGGACGGGTAGGCGACCCGCTGCGCGCGGCTGCGCGACGGGCCTGCAAGGGCTCGCGGGCGAGAGGCACGGCCAGCAGGAGGAGGGACACCACCACGGGACACCGGGACGGGCCTCACGGTGGCTAGCCTGGCGGTCTGCAGGATTAAACCACTATGGTTACGAAGCGTACGATGCTTTTGTGTAGATCCAGCTCCTCAGGACCATTGGACTAGAAAGGGGAGGGGGCCGGGGAGGGAGGGGTACCTCCATTCTGTGCGAACGGGGTATACGAGGCGACGTGGCAACGCTGCAGGGTCCTGCGGGCGGAAGTGCGGCAGCGCCGCTTGTTACGAATGGGAGGAAGGGCGAAAGAGACCAGGGCGAGGGAGAGAGAGGGAGAGGGAGAGAGAGGAGAAGGGGAGGGGGCAGAGAAAGAGAAGAAAGGGATGAGTGCGCTCGAGAGCCACGTATCGAGTAGGATAGGAGGATGAGGAGACGGGGACCGGGCCGGAGCCGGGACGGCGGGGGGAAATAAAAAAACTGGCCTGCCGGCCGGTAGAGAGACAGTCCAGCAAACTGAGGGTGAGAATAATTTACACATTTACCGACAATTTACAAATAACAAGTTAGACATTTACTTACAATTTACAAATAACAAGTTACACATTTACTTACAATTTACAAATAACAAGTTACACATTTACTTACAATTTACAAATAACAAGTTACACATTTACTTACAATTTACAGATGATTACAATGATTTACACATACTCCATGGACACAATTACAAATAACAAGTTACACATTTAATTACAATTTACAAATAACAAGTTACACATTTCCTTACAATTTACAGATTATTACAATGATTTACACATACTCCATGGACACAACTAACGGCAGATGGTAACTAAAGTAAGACTGGTAGGTCTCTACTTGCAGCACAGGCGCCGCCACATCACTAAACACAGCGTCTATAACAGTGGCGCCACCCTGGTCCCAGTACGTGGTGTGCACCTTGTTGTCGTTGAGCATACCGAGACCAAGTGCTGCAAGTCCCTCCGTTAGTTGCGCCCCCTGCCCGGCCGCCGGGTGGCACATGTTGATGTTAAAGTCCCCGGCCAACAGAGTGCTCACCCCGGGTGGAGCAGAGGCGAGCAGGGCGCGCACGTACTC